AAAAAAAAAGAAAAAAAAAAAAATAAAAACAAAAAAAAAAAAAAAATAAAAGAACAAAAAAAAAAAAACAAAGAAAACAAAAAAAAAAAAAAAAAAAAAAAAAAAAAAAAAAAAATAAAAAAAAAAATTAAAAAAAAAAAAAAAAAAAAGCATTCAACAGGCCCGAAGACACCCGCAAAACGCTCTCCAGGAGGCCCTTGACAGGCCAAAAACACTGAATGCGCTTCGCTTTCCGCGCTCTTCGGCCGAAGATCGCGATCTTCGGGGGCCCAGACTGAGAGCCCCAAGAGGACCCCTAGACTAACCAGCCTCGAGCTTATCCCTACCCCTAAGATTCCCCAGCCTAAAACCGAAGACAATCATAGCGATGCGCCCTCAGAAACTGAGGGGATACTTACAACGGCATCGAAATAAGGCGATGCCAACCATAGGGAGCTTCAGCCCAGAAATGAAAGGCCACTGGAGAGCCCCGAGCTCGCCAAGGAGGGCCTCCAGGGGGACTAAAGCCGATCAAAGGGGCCCCTAGACAACAGCCCAAGAGTGCCCCCCAAGACGGTCCCACGACGGCCTCAAGAGACCCCCCAGACGGCCAAGAGAGCCCTGGGACGTCCCCAGAGGGCCGCAAGGCAGGCCCAAACGAGGCCCCAAGGGACCCCCAGCATAGCCCCACAGGAGCTCAAACCCAAGACGGCCCGAACAGAGGCCGAGACCAGTTCACTCCCGCACCGAACCATCGCTCCGCAACACGACGGGACACCTCCAGAGCGAGGCCCGTCCTGGATAGCCTTCCCGTCGAGACGCCGCCAGGAAACGCCCTCGGACACTCCGACACCAATCGGGGGCGCGCAAACATGGATTAGCGATCCATGGATTTGGCGCGCGGTCGCCAAATCCATGGATCGGGGGAGGTGCCCTCCCCAAAATGCGGCCGGTGCCGCCTCGTTCGGCGTCGGAATTGAGCGATGCCCCATGGAAACGGGACCCGTCTCTAATCCACGCCCCCTTGATCCATGTTTGCGATCGCCTGAAACCAAGGCGCTGGCCTCGGCACTGCCAAGCCCGCCCGCTGCAGCAGGGCCTTGCCTGCAGGAGGCCCCGAGGGCAGCCGCACAACCGGACAAGAGGCCCTCGCCGCACCAAGGCAACGCAGCCCACCCCTCCTCCGCCCCCCCCCCCTCCCCTCCCTCCTCCCTCCCTCCCTCCTCCCTCATGCCTCCTCCCTCCTCCCTCCTCCTCCCTCCCTCCTCCCCCTCCTCCTTCAGCCCTCCCTCATCTCCCTCCTCCCCCCCCTCATCCTCCTCCTCCTCCTCCAGCCCACCTTCCCCTCCCTCCTCAATCCTCCTCCCCCTCGTCCCCTCCCCCGTTCGCCGCTCGCCTGCCCTCCTCCCCCTCCCTCCTCCTCCTCCTCATCCCCCCTCCCTCCTCCCTCTCCTCCCGTACAAGCTTATAGGGTGTACTCGGATCGTCTCAAACGGCCGCCGGAAGCCCGAGTTATGACCCGCGAGCCACAGGGGACCAGCACAAGGGGGGAAACATCGACCTGGAATCGGCGGTGCATCGCCAATGGATCGGTGATAAGCCCCCCCCACCGATCCGCATGGTCCTGGGCAGGGTGGGCCACCGGGCCCGTACGGGCGATCAGTGGGCGATTGGGGCTCGATGCCTCACCCCCTTCGCCTGGCTTCCCCTTGCGCTGCCCCTGATCTCCTCCCTGTCCGCTTCTCTCTCCGGCGGCAGCTTCGTGCCGTGGCCACTGCGCGCTGCTTCGGCCTTGAACGGTCACGGCGATGGGCCGGAGAGCCCAAAATCCAATCGATAAGTCGGATCGGCGGAAATCGGCAGCCGAGTCTGGAAAAGTCGAATCGGCGGAAATCGGCGGGCTAGTAGGCCTCCAGTAAGGAAATCGGAATCCAAAGTCGAATCGACTCGGAATCGACTCGGAGGAATCGAAACGAGCCCTGGATGGGGAGCGGGGTTCGGAGCTCGAGCTTCGAGGTTCGCTCGCTGCAGCCTCCGAGCGCCCTGGGGCGCCCTCGCCGCCTCGGCCGGGGCCGCCCCGAGATCCCAGCGCCGGAGCGCCCAGGGCCGCCGCCGCGCCAGCACCACGGGAGCCTGCCTCGCTCCCTGCTCCACCTTCGCGCCCCCGCCTCGGTGGCAGGTGGAGATACTCCACGGCCTCGCTGATCGTCGTCGTCCTCGTGTTCGTCGTCATCGTCGTCGGGTCCTGCCTGGGCAGCCTGCCAAGGAGGAGGAGGAGGAGGAGGAGGAGGAGGAGGACGGCTCCAATCGCCGAGCCTGTCGGGGATCTGCTGACCCAGGTCCGTGCAGACCTGTGTCCGTCGGGCCCTGCAGGATCCTGCAAGACCCTGCAAGACCCCCTGCAAGCTCCTGCAGGCAAACCCTGGGTCAGTGCACCCCCGGCTCTGCAAAATCCTGCACGATCCGGCGCTCTGGCTGGCCCCCGATTGCACTGACCCGCGTCGCAAGGCTCCCGAAGATTGGGCGACTCGGGGCCACCGGCGGCCTTCCACCTGGAACGCCCACGCCAGAGCTGCCGACGCGCCGACACGATGGGGACCCTGCCCTGCTCCCCCTCCAGCTTCTTCTCCTCCCTGTCAGACGAAGCCAGGACGAAGGTAAATGCAGACGAGGACAAATCCAAAATATCTGAGGATGTGTCGGGCGCCGCGGCCTTATCAGAGCGTTCCGGAACGCTCTGAGAGCGTTCCAGAGCGCTCTGTAACGAAGTTGTCCTCGTCCTACCCCGCCCGACCCTGGTAGGCCAGATGGTGTGACAGATGGCGGGAGGGAAGACCCGAGAGAGCAAAGCACGCTCCAGACTCGAGCATGGGAACACGTGTGGGGGCAGCGCTCAAAACGAGGGCACGACGCACGTTTGCAGGCTCCACAGGAACTGTCAGAAGGTCTGCCTTGCGAGGGGGAGGTGGTCGGCTAGACGCAACGCTGCAATGGAAGTACAGCGCGCTTTTGCAGTCACCACGAGAGAGCGTCAGGGTCATCAGAAGGTCTTCCTTGCAAGCAAGTCCAGCAGGCGATCAGCTACGCGGAAAGGAGACAGCAGAACGCCTCGGGTGCAACCACCAAGTCTTCTTTACACATTCGGGCTCGGAAGCGATCCGACGTCGGCGGGGCACCTGGAACCACGGCGAAAGAGAGCGCCGCCTCCCCTCTGGAACAAGGAGGCACAGAAGGAAGACTTTGGGGACGAAGGGGAGGAGAGAGGAGGGAGGAGCGACGATGGCAAAAGGCTTCGGGGGCTGCGCACGGACAGCTCCCCCAGGTAGCCCCAGCTGGCCTCCACAGGCCCCCCGAGCAGTCGGTCCCAGCATCCAGCGCCGACCAGCCACCAACGAGGGGGAGCGGTGGTCCTTTTACCCCCCTGGGGGAACCCGTCGTCTCGACGATCTCCCGAGAGGAGCGTCGAAACCGATGGGTCCCCCAGGGGGGTAAGGACCACAGCTCCCCCCGCTGTGGCTGGCCTGCAGCGCCGCCTCCAGCGGCGCAGCTGGGGCGCTCGGCGCCCCAGGTTTGGGGTGTTGGGACCGCCCTGGATGATTCGGAGGGCCTGGTGAGGCCAGCTGGGACTCGAGCCTGTTGAGGCCAGCGGGGACTACCTGGGGAGGCTATCTGTGCGCAACCCGACCAGGACAGGAGGAAGATCAGGAGGACAAGGGGGAAGAGGGACGAGGGAGGAGCGACGAGGAGCAGGCAGGGAGGGAGACCGAGCCTCGCTCCCGCCGTGGTCCCTGTTGCCCCGACGGGCGGACCACGGCCCTCGCGCACGCGCCCGCCTACGCCTTCCGGGCCTTGCTCTTGGCCGCGGCCTTGTGGTGCTCCTTGCCCTCCGTCTTCGCCACCTTCGCTGCGGCCTGCCCGAGGATGCGAGGGCTCGGGCTCGGGCGTGGCTGAATGGGGAGTGGAAGCAAGCGGGGGGCCCCAGGGGGCCCCCGGCCCTCGATTCCCCCCCCCCAGCTGCCACCCCAGCATCACGAGACGCCCGAAGGGCTCGAGGGCTCCGAGGATCTGGGGATCCAGGCCTTGAGGGGGGGCCGTGACCTCCACGCGACTCGGGACAGACCCCGACGCACGTGCTGGGCAGCTGGTCCCTGCGGGCGCTGGGCAAGAAGAGCTCACGCGCGGCCGCCTCTGCGCCTGCCCGTGGCCACGATGGGGGGCGCGTCGCCCCCTCCCCAGGGGGTGTTCTTGGCAGTCAAGGCTCTGGGACGCGTCTGACCCTGTGGAGGGGGGGCCGTCGGGGGCCGCGTTCCCCTCCCTCGACCAGCCAAAGCCCCGGGGGGGGGGGGGACTGTGTTCCTCAGCCCCATGGGTGGACCAATAATCGCTTAGACGATGTCGAGAGGGGGGCGTTGAAGCCGATGGGTCCCCCAGGGGGGGTGGGGGGCGCAAGGACCACATCTGTGGCTGGTCTGGCCACCTTCGCGCGGCGGCCTGCCATGGGACTCGAAGGCCCGAGGCTCCGAGGAATCGGGGGGTCGAGGACGTGGAACGTCTTGGGCCATGTTTGGGCCGCCAGGGCCCCTGGGGAGCCTCTGGAGGCCTCCGGAGACATCCTTCCCTTCCTCCCGCTCCTCCTGCTGCCGCCGCCGCTGCTCCTCGCGGGGCCTTGTGGTGGCCAGCCGCGCCGGCCTTGGACTTGTGCTGGCCCTTGGCCCCCGCCTTGCCCTTGTGAGCATGGACGTGCTTGCCGCTGACCGCGTGGTGACCCTTGCCCTCGGCCTTCGCCTTGTGCTCGGCCTTCGCCCCAGCCTTCGCCGTGCTGTGGGCCGCCGAGTGGGTCTTGGCGTGCAGCGCGAGCTTGTCGTGGCCCTTGGCCTCCGTCTTCGCCTTCCCCTCGGCCTTCGCCGCGTGCTGCTTGACGGCGGTCTTGTGCTGGCTGGGGGACTTCGGCTTGTGCTCAGTCTTCTTCTCGTCGACCTGGGACACAGCATGCGCGGCCTCCGTCCCAGCCCTCCCCGATCAGGGTTCGGTCGGATCCCCTGTCCGAGCGAGAAAACAGAGCGGGTGCCACCCCTGGAGGGAAGCAGCCGTCGAGTTGCGACGCGCTGGGACGTCTGCGAGGCGCTGCAAACCCAGCACGCCGGCAGTCGTCCCTCCTCTATCCTCCTCGTCTTGGTCTACGGTTCGGGAGACCAGGTGGGAAGCAAAAGGGGAAACCATCTGCGCCTGCCCTACCCTCTCAAGGGCCACGTGCCGCGGGCGGTCGGAATCCCACAACGTGTGCAAAGGAGAGTGATGTTGAAAGTATCCATGCTCGTCCCGCTCGTGCCTCTCCTTACCACTCCTCCTCTTCCTGCTCCTCCTCCTCCTCCTCCTCCTCCGCCTCCGCCTCCGCCTCTGCCATCGCCCCCTCCGCCTCCGCCTCCGCCTCCGACCTCGCCTCCGCCTCCACCTCCGCATCCGCCTCCGCCTCCGCCTCCGCCTCCGCATCCGCCTCCTCCTCCTCCTTCTCCTCCATTTCTCTACTCCTCCCTTCCTCCATTCCTCCATTTCTCCATTCCTCTTCCGTATAGATAACTCCGCCCTGTCGCACCCCGAAACAGGTCGAAAAGGCGAGCGAATCGCTTGGCGGCGTTCCGCCTGAGACTTTCTCACCACTTACGACCCTGATGCCTAAAAATTGGCAACAGCTTCACAGATGGAGGGCGGGTCGCTTCCAATATGTGGCTCTCGCCTTAGCGCCGCGCACATTCGTTTGCAAAATTCGCAAGAGCTTCACGGATTGAGAGCGGGTCGTTTTCAAAATGTGACTCTCGCCGTAGCGCCGCGCACTTTCCTCCTTAACTTGTGCAAGATTTCCACTGGATCTCATGGCTAACGTACCAGATCTGGTGCTTTGGGAACGATTCAGGCATGGCGCCACAATTACGTTGATTCGTGGTGTTGAAGTCCCAGGAGTGGCATTCTGGGGCGATTCAGGATCGTCAACGCGCAGCAGTCAGGTTAAATCGTGGCGTTGAAGTCCTGACGAGGTGTTATGGCACGCTACAGGGTTTTCACACGGTTGCCCCCCAAGGGACAATTCCCTCTGTGGGCATGAGTCATATGAAGAGGGAGCCTGGAGGGAGGGTGTACTCCAACATCGTTGAGGAGTCTTGGGTTTACTCTGGTCCTCCTCCTCCTCCTCCTGTTCCTCCTCCTCCTCCTCCTCATCCTCCTCCTCCTCCTCCCCCTCCTGCTCAGCCTCCTCCTCCTTCTCCTCCTCTTCCTGCTCCTCCTCCTCCTCCTCCTCCTCCTCCTCCTCCTCCTCCTCTGCCTCCTCCACTTTCCTTATAAACAACTCCTCCCTGTCGCACCCCGAGGACAGTCGGAAGGGCGGGCTGGGCGTTTCGCATGAGACTTCCTTACCATGTATGAGCCTCACGCTTCAAAACTGACGAGTGCTTCACAGTTGGATGGGTCTCGCCTTACCGCCGCGACTATGAATTTCAAACATTCACCAGAGTTTCACGGCTTGAGGGCGGCTGGCTTTCAACCTGTGGCTCTTGCCCGAGAGCCGCGCACATTCGTTTGCAAGATTCGCAAGGGCTTCACAGATTCAGGGCGGGCCGTTTTCAACATGTGGCTCGCGCCTGAGCGCCGCGCACATTCGCCTCACGAATGTGCAGAAATGTCACGGATTGAAGGCGGCTCGTTCTCAAAGTGTGGCTTTCCCCTTAGCGCCGCATTTCAAAAATGTGCACGAGCTTCCCCGATTGAGGGCGGGCTGTCTTGAAGAGTTGCAGCTCTCGCCTGAGCGTCGCGTACATTCGTTCTACAAATTTGCAAGAGCTCATGGATTGAGGGCGGTTCCTTTTCAAGATATGGCTCTCGCCTGAGCGCCACGCACAGTCGTCTTCAACACTCGCAAGAGTTTGACGGATTCCCACGGTCAGCGTACCAGAAATTGTACCTTAGAAGGACTCAGGATGGCAAGGGCGCAATAGTTGCGTTGATTCGGGTTGAAGCCCCAGGAATCGCATTCTGGTACGATTCAGGATCGCAAAGACGCAACAGTCAGGTTGAGTCGCTGCGTTGGAGTCCCAAGAATGATGTTTTGGTACGTTTCAGGGTCTTCCATCGGTTCTCCCAAGGATGCAGTTCCCGCAGTGGTAATGAATCCACGTAGGCTCATATGAGAGGGAGCCTGGAGGGAGGGTGTATCCCAACATCGTTGGTGAGTCTTAGGTTTACACTCCTCCTCTTCCCTCCTCACGCCCCCCTGCTCCCTCCTCCTCCTCCTTCCTCCTCCCTCCTCCCTCCTCCTTCCTACCTCCTACCTCCCCCCTGCTCCCTTATCCCTCCTCCCTCCTCCCTCCCTCATCCCTCCTCCCTCCTCCTTCGTACCTCCCTCCTCCCTCTTCCCTCCTCGCTCCTCCTTCTTCTCCTCCCTCCTCCCTCCTTCGTCCTCCCTCATCGCTCCTCCCTCCTTCCTCCTCCCTCCTCCCTCATCCCTCATCCCTCCTCCCTCCTCCCTCCTCC